TCAGATTCTGGAGTGCATAACAGGTCTAAAGATAAATATCAATGATCTTAAATAAAACAAATACATTTCTAGAGATGGTATAAAAGTATATAACTGGACTCACCTGGGAAATGGAGGCAACTTGAACGGTTGTGAGCACAATTAAGTGCACACAGCATGAAATATTATCTGATAATTGTTGTAAATAATCCCAAAATGCTATTGACTGTGTAAAGACACATGAACCAAAACAAAAATATGATGTATATGTCGAGCTCAGCGGCTAATCAGCCGGAATCAGCTGAGGTGACGAGACAACGAGCAGCGAGACCTAGCTGTCGCTTAAGTGGCCACGCTCTTAATTATGTAGACTTAATATAACTTAAAAACTAAACGGATGAGTTATAAAAAAATCCACCCCCCTCACAGTTGTCATGATTGGTAATCATAGCTATATGAACCAAAGCCATCTTTTGTACCAGGCTGTAAACATGTTTTTATCAGCTGTAAAAATGGCCCATTTACCACTGCAGTCAGAAATCACCTGGATTTCCTGGAGCCAGCCTCCCAAGGCGAGTCAATGAATTGTAGTTTAAATTACATTCTTATTGGCTTACCGAGGGAGAGCGGGAGAATGTACCTTGCATGAAACTGATGTTTCGACACTGCAAAATACTGCACCGAAGTGAAGATCAGCACGGGACTATTATTTTCATCCTGCGCTCACCCACTCTCGCAAGGTTTTATTCCGCACCCAACTGCTCCCGCTGTATATTCAGCCTTTGTTCACCCGCTGCTCGACCTGCCCCGTTTTCCAACCAACCCAACCAATCCCGCTAAATTTATATCTAGTTTCCAAAATCTCACAGTTAAATTGGTTACTACCCAAAGAGGGATATAACAGATAAAACTGCAGGTTGTACAAGAACTGACAGGCAAAAAACACTTCAAACATCACAAAAAAGTGCAAAAATCAAAACACGGATAAATACAAAATACTAAAATACCCAATACCAAAAAATCAAGACTGAGCAAAAGTATGTTGCAGGTGAGGTGTATATAAAGTCCTGATAATCAGCCCTCATTAGCTTCAGCTGTGTGTTTGTAATCAGTGGTAATCTGAAACTGGTGTGTGTGAGTGAAATGCACGATGGAATATGTAGTCCGTTTCAGTAGCAGATATGATGTGTAGAGTTCCCTCTAGTGTGTCTGGTGGGAACTCAACTTGGTAACTGTGACACAATGTGAGATTGAATATCATTATAAGTGACATTTATTGCAATATTACCGAAAGCAGCAGCAAATAGTTACATTAAATCTTGAAAATAAAAAAAAAAACTAGCAAATTGTCAAAAAAAAAAGTCAGTGACTAATTTGCAAACCATGTGACTCATCTGTACTTGTACTTTAATATTTAATGTTAATAATAGTAGGTTTAATATGTATCAATTAGAATATAACCCTTACCATTTTGTTGGGAGTGCAGTGGCTGATATTTTAATGGTTAGTAGGTTATTAAAATGTTTTTGTTGTGTTGTGTTATGTTGTGTTGTGCGTTGTGTTGCATTAGGTGCAGATTGCCAAGTTGCTTGTCACTGAAATTGTATCTAGTTAGGACACAGTGAGGCAGCGAATGCTGGAAAGAAGCTAGATGGCATCTGTAAAATGCATTCAAATAGCACACGTAATGTGCTGATGATATAAAAGGCAGTCACAAAATGAAAAGTGGCTAATTTATATGAGAGATGGCTTCTGATGTACATGATTATCATAATCATGCACTGCATGAAAGATGTCATTAGCACCAATCTTATCAGATCAGTCCTTGCTATAGTAATTTCCACTACAACAAAATGCAAGTATCAAAACAAAGCCAAATTACAACAGATAATAATTAATAATAATAATAATAATAATAATAATAATAATAATAATAATAAATATAATAATAAATATAATATAATAATTGTAATAATAATAATAATAACAATAATTGGAACAATACAAAACAAAACAAAACATGCAACATTGGGAAATAATATTATAAATAAAGGCTGATAAAAAGTAAAATAAAATAATTTATTTACAAAATGAAATTAAATAAATTAATAAAAAAATAAATTAAATTAAACTTTCAAAAAATAAAATAAAATAAAAACAAATAAAATAAAATAAAATAAAATAAAATAAAATAAAATTAAATTAAATTAAATTAAATTAAATTAAATTAAATTAAATTAAATTAAATTAAATTAAATTAAATTAAATTATAAACCTGACAATTGGCAATTAAGTTTCAAAATATCAGAATAAGTAACATCTTACAGAAATTACCTGTCAGGTTCTTGAGGCCGAGCTGTCTCAGGCCGAAGTAGCCGTCTCGTCTGTAGTTGAGAAAGATGGCCAGAGAGTAGCGTCCTTCATATAGTTTAGTGCCTCGGATGATTCGCAGGTTCTCCAGAGGAAGATAGTCAAACTGGTTCAGAGCCACCAACACGTAACCCGTCACCTCCCGGATAGACTGGTGAGAAATAAAGAAACGCAAACATCTTTGTCACTCAACTGATCAAATACATACAGTGAAACAGGTAAATCTCATGTGCTATGTTTCTTTGGTTCAAGGATGCAGTTTGCCCTTTAGTCAAGGCTTTACCAAAACTTCATCACCGAGTCCATTAGTCAATTCATCAGACAGTCTTGATATAAATTGAAGAGATAATGGCCCACGAGAGCGCTGGACCCTCCCTCTCCACACCCACATCAATCATGTTGACATCCAATCACTGTTTCACACTGAGTATCATTAGCAGGCACAGAGGACAGGTCTATTTCATGCACAGGAAGTGACTGAGATATAGCTGTACTGATCAGACACACACATACACACAAAAATCCATCTGAAGTGCTGAACAAGCACAACGGGACAGCTGTCACCTGCCTGTCACACACACAGAAGGCCACAAAAGGACACACTGCATCAGACGTCACATTTTAGACAGGACTATATGTTGAGGATTCTATAAAAAAAAATAATAATAATAAAATAAATTTACAAAAATAAATAAATAAAATAAAATAAAAATAAATTATCACATAAAATAAAATACATTAATTAATAAAAAATAAACATAAAATTGAATGAAAAAATGTGAATTAATTAAAATAAAAGACAATAAAATAAAAACAAAATACATTATTAAAATAAAATAAAATAATAAAAATAAATTAACAAAATATTTTTTTATAAAAATAAAACATAATTTATTAAAATAAATTAAAAACAAAAAATATATAAAATAAATAAAATTACTGAATTAATTAAAGTAAAAATAAAAAATAAAAAGTTATGAATTAAAATAAAATAAATAAAATAAAATAAAAAACAAAAACTGTTGATAAAATAAAATAAAATTACTGAATTAATTACAATAATAATAAAAATAATAACAATAAAGATAAAAATTAATTTAACTAAAATGAAAAAAATAAATAATTTACTTTAACTAATAAATTAATAAAAAAATAAAACAAAGATTAATTAATTAAAATAAAATAATGAAAAAACAAAAAGAAGTTAATAAAATAAAATACAATTATTTCATTATATGATTAATTTAAATAAATAAATAAATTAATTAATTTATTCATTCATTCATTAAATTTAAATAAAATACAATAAAATAATAAATCTATATGCAGTATACTAAAACAGTAAAATAAAATATTAACAAATTCATTATTTATTTTCTAAGGAAATGTTTTAATGTAACAGGAAGAAAAACTTCACTGAATGTCTTAAACATCTACATACTGTACCAAAAAAAAAAAAACATTAAAACGTGTGTTAAAATGAAGTAAATATGCACGCAACAAGATAAAAGTAAAAATTGATCCCGATATGTTCCCATATTAGGCACAATATAAGCTTGTATATGTTTAAAAGACATGCTTTATCTTTGTTTTTTTTGGGTTTTTTTTTTTTTTTGTGTGTGTGTGTTTTTGATTTCTTTTTCTTCACTTCAAGCTGTAAAAAGTTGCAATTTGTAACACAATACTGTACTACACAAAATATTTCAAGACTGATCTTAAGAAAACAATGTCAATATATGAAACTATGGAATATATAATCCATTATAACATAGCTAAAGATAAATTTTTCACTGTATCTACATTTATAAAGTATTATATTATAATAAATTTTAACACACACATTTTAATACACTAAGTATACTGTACACTTAATTGACAAAAAACAAAAACAAAATTAGCATAGTGTGGGAAGTTATATAATTAGCATTCTCTCCCTAAATACAACAAATATGAAGTGTGACACTGGCTTTAGCAAACATCATTTCTAAACATCCAACCTTTATTACTGTCATGTGCAGTTTCTGTTACCTAGCAACAAGCCAACAAACCCCCAAAACATGAGCAGAATTCATAATCTGGCTCTAATTTACCCTTTTTTAATAAAATAATTACTTTGCTTTTGAGGGCTTCTTCAACAACACAGTTTACTTTGACACAAATGTGTTTTCCTGCCCTTTCTGTATTACAGATTCACTGGACCAGTGCCGTAGCTGCCAGAAAAACTAACATAAAGAAAACGAATACCTTGCTTTTGATGTTTTACCCCTAATAGACTTCCCTAAGAACACAGGCTAATTCAATTGCAATTACAGTCCTGTGCCGCAATTCATAATTGATTCCAGTCAATTGAGCAAGCAGTAAACAATACACAATTCATTTCTCAATGAGGTTTAAGCTGGTTAATATGCCTCCGAAGGCTTTGCTTTTTTAAATAAGAGCTTGGCAGAACTCTGTAATGTCAGATCACAGCAAACCGCATGTTAACAAACACAATTTTTGCTATTGTGCATAAAGATTGTTTTTTCATACAGAAAGTTAGCTTTGGAATTTTTTCCCATACACTATGTTAGCAAAAATGTAGCCTTTTTATTTCAGATACAACCCAGGCTCAGTCTAAAAACGTACCATTATACGTTTCTTATGAGCGATAAATACGTCCCAGGAGCTACATTTTTTCAGATCTCAAATTTCTCTCAAGAGGGCCATCCCTGCCTGCTGTTCTCCATTTATAGGTTAAGGTTAGGTCCAGGGGTAAGTTTAGGGATAGTAACTACAGTAGTTATTAGCCAATTATTGTAACTACTGGGATAAACCGATAGTATGTACATGCAAAATTGGACAGCAAAATAAAGTGCTCTGAGATATTTAGCATTATTTTAAGATTCATATGAGAGAAGTATTTTTTTCCTCATATTCACCAAACTAATCACACTCATATTTTCTGAGATATTTATAATCTGTCATGACACAGGCTCAGTGTGAATGTACCCCAAATACACTTCTGGAGAGCAAGAGGTATTCATGGCTGCATTTCGTCTTTAAAATGAATGCTACGGGGCGGTATGATGCCACCGAAGGCTTTAGTTTCTTTTTGCGAAACCAGCTGAACGCTTATCTCCATGTAGACGGCTTTTCCGCTGTTACGAGTTTGTCCAGTTTTTTAAAACAAAAACAAAAGGTAAAAAATGAAATTAAGAAGTAAATAACAGGGTGACAATGCGGTAAAATCTGAAAACGTGGAAAAAAATCAGGCAATCACGAGGGCTTTTTTTTTCTTGATTGCTTTTGAAAACACTTTTGGTTGGGTTTAGAAAAAGCGGTGGGTGGTGGTCAATCAGTGCTTTTGAAAACACTATTGGTTGGGTTTAGGGAAGGGATGGGTGCATCGGTCAACAGTCAGTCAACAGTCAGTCGACAGCGGCCTCTGGTGGATTTACATGAGAACAGCTGGTGCGAATGGCACTCGTGAGAGAAACCTGAGATCTGAAAAAACATACACAGCTGCCTCTGGTAGATTCGCGAAAACAAAAGCTACAAAAAAACTTTTTTTTTTTCATTTAAAATTTGTGGATTGAAATAATTTTTTTATTTTTGGTGTGGTCAGAGCTAAATTTGGTAAATCCTTAATTTTGAGCTCCAAAAAGTCATGTGAAATAAAAACTAATTGCATTGTGACAACACATTTGCTCTTGCTCATTGAGCAAGCTCATACACAACAAGCACAAAACGTGAAATGAATGAGGAGGCATGTGGGCAAAACACTAAATCTAAATGAAGTAATTTTAGCATGCCGAAGTCAAATGTACTCTGTGAAAATAGTTGGGTTAAAAATACCCCAACATACAGTATAACCCAACTATATGTTATTATAGCACCTTCCCAACTATGGGTTATTTTAACCCAATGCATTGGGTTATATAATTTAACCCAATGCATTGGGTTATTGTGATTAAATGTTATTTTTTCTATTCTGGTATTTCTATTGAAGTACTCTTATTTTAGAATTATGGCTGTGTAAATGAATGAATGTCTTCGATGGGTCCTAAATGAGAGAATGATTCGTTTTCTCCAAAAAAAAAAAACTAGAGATGTACATGGAAGGTAGAGAAAGCTTTTTATCGGCCATGAAGCATGCGTTTGTATCATCAATAATTAAGAGCGCTGGTGAAACGAATAGAAAAACTACGACACGAGAGGTGATTTGATAAAAAAAATAACAATATTATTACGCTAGAGCTTAAATAAACTTTACAACGCAAAAACAACATTTGTTTGCATATTAATGCAGCTGTCCTGTGTTAGTTAAATCAGTTGACAGTTGAAGTTTTAAAATTTTACCCCAACTGGTTGAGTTATAAAAATAAATATTCAATTAAATTAAATTCAGCTTTATTTGTATAGCACTTTTACAATGTAAATTGTGTCAAAGCAGCTTCACATAAATGGTCATAGTAATTGGATCAGGGGAGTTCAGTTTTTAGTGTTTAAGTTCAGTTCAGTTTAGCTCAGTTCAGTGTGGTTTGAAGTCATTATTGAGAGTCCAACACTGAAGAGCAAATTCATCGATGAGTAGCTTTTCATATCCTGAACCATGCAAGCCAGTGGCGACAGTGGAGAGGGAAAAAAAACTTCACCAATAGGAGAGTGAAGTAAAAAAAACCTTGAGAGAACCAGACTCAGACCCAAAAGTCTTGTGCAGAGCTACAGTCTCAGCAGTGGAGGCTGGAAGCTGGCCTCAGCCTTCACTGTGATAACACCAAATAAAGGTTAAAAATAACCCAACAAAGCATCAAATATTTAACCCAACTGGTTGAGTAATTTTTAAATAACCTAATAAAGGTTAAAAATAACCCAACAATGCACTAAATATGTTTAACTCAACCATTGGGTTGAAGAAATATGTTTTTTAGAGTAATGCATATTAAAAATGTCTAGTAAAAATGGCAAGTGGCTAGTAATGTTAGAAATCTACTAGCCACAGTGGCTGGTGAGCAAAAAAAGTTAATGTCAAGGCCTGTTTACCGGTATCACTGTGTGAAAGGGGCTAATGTGTGAACTTAAACATTATTGCAACCGATCTGAACTCCTATTCAAATTCACTTCAAATCAAATTTGACTTTCAAACAGACAAAACTCGATAGGCAATAACCG